ATCATCACATTTTGCACGGAATACACGTGCAGCACACTTACCCCTGTGGGAAATTGTCCGTAGAGTTCATGTCACGTTATAATTGTACTCAGCTTGGTCAAATATCGATATCTCACTTACGTGTGACTTATGGTACGCCAAAATAAAATAACTGATATAACTGGAATACTGTTAAAAGCGGCGTTAAACCCAACTCACTCACTCACTTATGCCCCAAGATGTTCCCTGGTCATGCCCCAAGATGTTCCCCGGTCATGACCCACCATGTTCCCTGGTCATGCCCCACGATGTTCCCTGGTCATGCCCCACGATGGTCCCTGGTCATGCCCTACAATGTTCCCTGGTCATGCCCCACGATGTTCCCTGGTCATGCCCTACCATGTTCCCTGGTCATGCCCTACCATGTTCCCTGGTCATGCCCTACCATGTTCCCTGATCATGCCCCAAGATGTTCCCTGGTCATGCCCTACCATGTTCCCTGGTCATGACCCACCATGTTCCCTGGTCATGCCCCACGATGTTCCCTGGTCATGCCCTACCATGTTCCCTGGTCATGCCCCACCATGTTCCCTGGCCATGCCCTATCATGTTCCCTGGTCATGCCCTACCATGTTCCCTGGTCATGCCCCACGATGTTCCCTGGTCATGCCCAACCATGTTCCCTGGTCATGCCCTACCATGTTCCCTGGTCATGCCCCACGATGTTCCCCGGTCATGCCCTACCATGTTCCCTGGTCATGCCCTACCATGTTCCCTGGTCATGCCCCACCATGTTCCCTGGCCATGCCCCCACTATGTTCCCAGTTCATGCTCCATGGCGTTCCAAGTTCATATCCCACGATGTTCCCTGATCATGCCCCGCAATGTTCCCTGGTCATGCGCCAAAATGTTCCCTGGTCATGCTCCAAGATGTTCTCGGTCATGCCCCACGATGTTCCCCGGTCATGCCCCAAGATGTTCCCCGGTCATGCCCCAAGATGTTCCCTGGTCATGCCCCACGATGTTCCCTGGTCATGCCCCACGATGTTCCCCGGTCATGCCCCACGATGTTCCCTGGTCATGCCCCACGATGTTCCCTGGTCATGCCCCACGATGTTCCCTGGTCATGCCCCACGATGTTCCCTGGTCATGCCCCAAGATGTTCTCGGTCATGCCCCACGATGTTCCCTGGTCATGCCCCACGATGTTCCCTGGTCATGCCCCACGATGTTCCCTGGTCATTCCCCACGATGTTCCCTGGTCATGCCCTACCATGTTCCCTGGTCATCCCCCACGATGTTCCCTGGTCATGCCCCAAGATGTTCTCTGGTCATGCCCCACGATGTTCCCTGGTCATGCCCCACGATGTTCCCTGGTCATGCCCCACCATGTTCCCTGGTCATGCCCTACCATGTTCCCTGGTCATTCCCCACGATGTTCCCTGGTCATGCCCTACCATGTTCCCTGGTCATGACCCACCATGTTCCCTGGTCATGCCCCACGATGTTCCCTGGTCATGCCCTACCATGTTCCCTGGTCATGCCCCACCATGTTCCCTGGCCATGCCCTATCATGTTCCCTGGTCATGCCCTACCATGTTCCCTGGTCATGCCCCACGATGTTCCCTGGTCATGCCCAACCATGTTCCCTGGTCATTCCCCACGATGTTCCCTGGTCATGCCCTACCATGTTCCCTGGTCATGACCCACCATGTTCCCTGGTCATGCCCCACGATGTTCCCTGGTCATGCCCTACGATGTTCCCTGGTCATGCCCCACGATGTTCCCTGGTCATGCCCCACCATGTTCCCTGGTCATGCCCCACGATGTTCCCCGGTCGTGCCCCACGATGTTCCCTGGTCATGCCCCACGATGTTCCCTGGTCATGCCCTTCCATGTTCCCTGGTCATGCCCCACGATGTTCCCTGGTCATGCCCTACCATGTTCCCCGGTCATGCCCCACGATGTTCCCTGGTCATGCCCCAAGATGTTCTCGGTCATGCCCCACGATGTTCCCTGGTCATGATCCACGATGTTCCCTGGTCATGACCCACGATGTTCCCTGGTCATGCCCCACGATGTTCCCTGGTCATGCCCCACGATGTTCCCTGGTCATGCCCTACCATTTTCCCTGGTCATGCCCCACGATGTGCCCTGGTCATGCCCCAAGATGTTCTCGGTCATGCCCCACGATGTTCCCTGATCATGCCCCACGATGTTCCCCGGTCATGCCCCAGCCTACAGGCCTACAGCTACTAGTGTCTGCATGGGGTTTTATTTCACAAACTGACCATGCACCATGTTACCTGAATATGTCCATGCCATGACGCGGCCGTCGGAGTGGTCTTTTACCCTTAGCGCCCAACCAAGACTATTAAGTGTGTTTGTAAACAAACATTAATCCGATACCACGGGATATATAATTTCTTTCGTTTGAGGGACGAATTTTTGAAAGAACGAAATTATTTTATTCTAACGTCGGAGAGCACAACAAACGGAGGTAACTTTGTCTCCTAAGAGGTATAGAAGTAAAGGCGCGAAGTTGACTCTTCATTCTCATTCTCAGGTTCGGTCCAGTGGGAGGAAAGCCCGACGTGATGCAGGTCTCAGACTTTATCACTTAGCACGGATATGGTGCTGGCAAACCTAGAAACATAATTGGGGCAAACCGGGATTCGAACCCACAATCATAGGTTTCTGGCGTGCCCAATCGCGGCGCCTTAGACGACTGGGCCACCCGTGCCTAGATAATGGGTAGAATAGGTCTTCAGCAACCCATGCTTGTCGTAAAAGGCAACTGTGCTTGTCGTAAGAGGCGACTAACAGGATCGGGTGGTCAGGCTCGCTGACTTGGTTGATGCATGTCATCGTATCCCAGTTACATGGATCAATGCCCATGATGTCAATCATTGGATTATCTGGTCCAGACCCGATTATTAACAGACCGCCGTCTGGAATATTGCTGAGTGCGGCGTTAAGCAAGAAACAGACAGCCAGACGTAAAATGCAAGCGTTTGCTTGTTTGCTTATCCATAAACTACAAAATGGATTGGGACAAATTATTCTGAATAGCTGAAAGCATCCTTCCGGCTGTTCACAGTGTGACGCCGTTATAACTGGAAAGTTGCTGACTGTGGCGTTAAACAACATGCACTTGTGAAAGCACTTAAGTAAGAGCTACCAGAGAATTCGTTATATAAGTAAATTTTATATGATGTTATATAGGAGATAAATCGGAGATTTTTTTACAGTTCGTGTGTATCCGTTTGTTCGCTATATCCGTGTTCGTTGTATCCATGTTCTACTGTAGCTGTAATATTGCTGAGTGCGGCGTTAAACAAAGAAATATACAAACATGAGCTTCGGTAAATAAGGATATTAGTAAATGAAGCAGTCTTAAAATATGTATACATCCGTTACGGTACACCATTCTGACATCAAGTGCAGTGGCATATCATGTGTTCTTTAAGTAGTGGGATACTGACAGTCATGCTGATTTGTAATCGCGCATAGGAGATTCTCGATTAGAACAGATCCCCAGCCAACTATGCTTGCCATAAGAGGCGACTTAATGTTTGTTTGTTTGTTTGTTTGGTTGGTTGGTTGGATGCTGTTGAAAGCCGCACTCAGCACTATTCCAGCTAAATGACAGCGGTCTGTAAATAATCAAGTCTGGACCAGACAATCCAATGATTGACATCATGAACATCGATCTACGCAATTTGGATACGATGGCATGCATCAACCAAGTCATCGAGCCTGACCGATCCCATGGGAAACAGAATATTGTCACTTACAGCACGGTATTGACTCGATGATTTCAATATCACCAGTTCTTTTATTCCTCTTTCAACAATGTGTTATTCCATGCCCCTAAGAGTGTTGACAGAACTATGTCTTTGAGCTAAAACGTTGCATGAGTACACTTTATATATTGCAACCTATTCTTAAATGGTGAGGCGGAACTTGATTCACACAATCATATCTGACAAAGAGAATAGTCTCTTTATGACAAACACACTGTGATCCATGATAACAACACGTTCGGGTGACCATAACGGTTGTGTCTGATCTCAAACTGATTCATCAACAATGTGCCTGTTCGTTGGCATTTCTGATGGCTATCCTTCACAACATCAACAACATATCACAGCAACAACGCGAGACAACAACAAAAAGTCGTTTAAAACATGGCCTAAAAATACACAATGCCATGAGATCTCCCGCGACGATAGCTAGGCAATCTCGCTTCGTCATATTGTTAACAAACAAAAGGAACCACAGTCAAACCAATAGTCTTCGCTATGTAAACTATTTCAATGTATATTCCACTTATTAAACGTGTTGATTATCTATTCGTTCCTCGGTCAATATCTTATGCTCAGTAAAAAAGACACTTCTTTTAACGACTGATAAACAGGTTACCTTTTAAAGTTTGGGACTGTCAAGCACTCCTTTTATAAACACACCCACTGTCGTCGTAGTCCCTATAAATACATTTATATATTCATTTGAGAGAACCATACAGTGATCTACTTTGTAAGAATGTTTATGTAGTTCCGTACCTTGTTATACAATACCTTACGATCTCCAATCAATAGTGAACGTACGTGTTGACAGGCGTCTTGAGGGAAGATATCGCTGTGCTTCAGGTCTCGGGTTATGACCGGGTGACGGCAACCTAAAGAAAGAGGGTGTGGCATATACATAACTTGACATGACAAAATATTTGCAAAGGCTGTCGTGTTCTCAACATACCACTAATGGAAAACTGCTTGTTAGAACTATCATCGTTCCTTCTGGTCCTAATGTCTTGGAAATGTCAAATAAACTATTGCGCTGTTCAACACGTTTCCCAGAGATGAATCCATAGCACTTACTTGGCATCAGCTGTTTGGCAGGCTAGATTCGGTTGTATATTTATAGGTGTGTACACGGGACACCTATTTCAATAGACATTGCCATAAAGGTCAATTGCTTTTAAGGACGTATTCAATTCAATGAAGCAACGAACCATTACATAACAAAAAGCTTGTGGTGTACCGCAAGGCTACTGCGTTGGTTCATATCTTTTACTGTATTGTGCGTGTTGTGCCTTCAGGAATACAGTTGTTTCGGTGGAATGATTGCTAACCTACAGGTATTGTATGTGTGTATAATTCATTTCTACTTATTCCACGGAATTTGACGCTGAGCTTGTCTTGCTGCCTTCCACAGGCTAATTTTGTAGAATTACGAATTTGTCATGTGTGGTGTATGATGATGAAACCTTGCACGGTAAATAAGATCGTTTAAGGACAAACATTTCTTTTTCATTTGATATCATTGTATATCATCCCTGATTGTAGTTCACTGGGATGAGATCACCATCTATGATGACTAAATTTCGGAATATTGCTGAGTGTGGCATAAAACAACAAACAAACAAACGAACAAGACTCAATTTCGTGAAGAAGAAGTACAATGTATACAGTGTATAACTTACGAGAATAAACTTATTTTGAAAAGGACAATTAAAAACGTCATATTTTTGAAAGGTTGCTTTTTTACAATTTTCTTTGAGATCAGATATACATGTAATTGATTTCACATGTACCTCTGTCAGAGCTTTAGTGAGTTTGGTTTTACGCCGCTTTTAGCAATATTCCAGCAATATCACGGCGGGGGACACCAGAAATGGGCTTCACACATTGTACCCATGTCGGGAATCGAACCCGGGTCGTCGGAGTGACGAGCTAACGCTTTAACCACAAGGCTACCCGTCCGCCCCTGTCAGAGCTTTAGCTTAGGGTTATTTTGAACTTGGGGTCTATTTCATTGAAGAATGTTTTGTGAAAGCAAAGTAACATATATGTTCCTTTATGTAGAAACAGTGAGTGCATGTTGTTTAACGCCACAGTCAGCAACTTTCCAGTTATCACGGCGTCACACTGAACAGCCGAAGGGATGCTTTCAGCTATTCAGAATAATTTGTCAAAATCCATTCTTTTTGTAGTTTATGGATAAGCAAACAAACAAACGCTTACTTTTTACGTCTGGCTGACTGTTTAATGTTTATCGCCGCACTCAGCAATATTCCTCCTATATGAAGGCGGTCTGTAAATAATCGGGTCTGGACCAGACAATCCAATGATTGACTTCATGAACATCGATTTACGCAATTAGGATACGATGGCATGCATCAACCAAGTCATCGAGCCTGACCGATCGCATGGGAAACAGAATATTGTCACTTACAGCACGGTATCGACTCGATGACTTCAATATCACCAGTTCTTTTACTCCTCTTTCAACAATGTGTTATTCCATGCCCCTAAGAGTGTTGACAGAACTATGTCTTTGAGCTAAAACATTGCTTTTATGAGTACACTTTATACATTGCAGCCTATTCTCAAATGGCGAGGCGGAACTTGGTTCACACAATCATATCTGACAAAGAGAACAGTCCATTCTTTTTGTAGTTTATGGATAAGCAAACAAACACACGCTTACTTTTAACGCCTGGCTGACTGTTTAATGTTTATCGCCGCATTCAGCAATATTCCTCCTATATGAAGGCGGTCTGTAAATAATCGGGTCTGGGCCAGATAATCCAATGATTGACATCGTGAGCATCGATCCACGCAGTTGAAATCGATGACATGCATTAACCAAGTCAGTGAGTCTGACCACCCGATCCCGTTAGTCGCCTCTTACGACAAGACCCGTGAAGAGCCGGGGTAGAATAGCTCTTCGGGAACCCATGCTTGTCGTAAAAGGCGACTATAGCGGGTGCTACCGATAGGGCGGGGCATTCCTGGTGTCATCACTGATTTTCAGTGGTCCATTCATTTAGTTTTCACCACTGTTTTGCCTTTTTTCGCCCAAGGGAATCTGTTTCGGTGGATGATCGATACTGGTTGTTATCTTGCGTTGACTTAATATATACATTTGATATGCAAAACTGGGAGTGGGGAAAGCATTTCAATGTTTTTATTTATTATTTAAGTAGCTCATAAGTCTATAAAATTATTACATTTAATTATATAAATTATATAATTTATTTTACATTTTTAACGTCCATGTTTTGTCGATATGAATCTAAGATGATATGGGATTTTATTGAAATATAAAAACTGTCCCCCAAAATACTTGAAAAAGATATATCCTTTTGGCAAAAAAGTAATTGCTTGCCACGAAAATAACGTAGCTGCAAGGTATTTTTTCTTTTAAGAATTGATTCAGGCTCATAGTTATAAATTTAAAAAGTATCTGGTTTTGTAGCTGGATAAGATAAAATATCTAATACCGTAAAAATCCCCCCCCCCCCCCCCCCCCCCGACCTGTCGTTCCGGCTCTATAGGGGTATTCTTTCTTGCACGCCGTGAAAATATATTCAATGAGGCATAGATCATTTAAACATATGCGTGTGCGTGTGCGTGTGCGTTAGGGGATTATTTTGGGGATTATCTACATTTACGGTATCATCCCCATTGAAATCGTCTATAGTAACGAATCTTTGTTACATGGCAATATAAGCGTTCTCGGCAGTAATCGTTTAGAATTTGAAGTTTCCAGATTAACGAGGGTCCATTCAAACGAGGTTTCAGTGCACTTGAATGAGGCGTAAAACAACACTCATTTGTCATTTTAACAGATCATTTAAACTGCGATTCAAAATATGTTACTGAGGACCCGAATTCTTTATTAAGTGTGAAAAGAGTAGTTGATTCAATAATATTGTTAGACAAAGCATATATGCTCAATGTTATGTTTGTATGTTGTTGAACGCCGCACTCAGCAATATTGCAGCTATTTGACAGCGGTCTGTAAATAATCAAGTCTGGACAAGACAATCCAGTGATTGACATCATGAGCATCGATCCACGCAATTGGTATACGATGACATGCGTCAAGCAAGTCAGCGAGCCTGACCACCCGATCCCGTTAGTCGCCCCTTACGACAAGCATGGTCACCTTTAACGGGAAGAATGGGTTGCTGAAGACCTATTCTATCTCGGAACTTCACGGTTTATTGATTCTTAAACAGTTCTAAGTATTGATTCGTTAACTTCAATATAATCAAGTTGTTTTCTCTATTATTCAAGGACATCTTCAATCGAAAGTGACTAATTAATTGTTTGCGCTTCATGAATTATGTACTTAAGGTAAAGTAAATGGACTTGATATATAAATGTTGTAATTACCTATCCTTGAAGATGTGTGTGATTAAATGAAATTGTATTTATTAAATATTCAGAATGGATTAATAAAGAAATCAAAGAGTTTGCCATGGTTATATTGATTACTGTCAACAATAAAATAAATGTTTCTGTGACGAAGTCAAATTAAGTCTTCGATCTGTTACAGGTGTAACGTCTGGGAAACGCAGCGGACGTACCGGGCCGCACGTGCAGATGAAGACAGTTGGAGTAAACAGTATGATCCTGCACGTGATTTTCGTGTGTCTCGTGTTTAATCTGACACCGACCACCGCAGCTGGCAACATCACCACCAAAGAGCGTGATCTTCTAAATCGTCTGCTTAACGACACAATTTATGATGCAACAATTCGACCGAGGGTGGAATCAGGTAGGAAATATATTTAGCTACAACATTTATTTGTTCCGTCTGACAATCAACTTGTTATATATTTATCAAAACATCGCATTGGCAACAAGTATTCGTGATTTTGTAAATGCCACGTTTTGTAAAATGACAGTTTTGTTTATGATATATTTTAATGAATTTGAACATTATTCAGGGACTAGTTATTCATTAGTGTGTGTGTGTGTGTGTGTGTGTGTGTGTGGGGGGGGGGGGGGGGGGGGGGGGGGGGGGGGGCATGATGACGTCTCAGTCTGAATAGATTGTACAGATCGTTGTAAATACACCTGCATCGTGCGTAGACTCACTGCAAGTTAGAAGTTAGACTCAAGTCGACTCATAGTTGGAAACTGGTAATCCCCTGATCATGATCTGTTTAAATTAATTGTGTTTACGCATTTTATGTATTTCTGTGTGCCTTTTTTACATCATAAAACGTATCTGTACTGATGTATTTCTGTGTACCTTGTTCATATCATGTAACAGTAAACATTCACGGCTCACCGCATTCACGGCTTATCCATTGACGTAGCTCACGGGAACACCAACATAAACTCTCGTTTTTTTTGTTTTGGGCGTATCCGGGACTTTCTGTTTGGCAAATTATGTTATTCAGGAAAGACTTTTCAACAACTGATTTTATATATATAATAAACCATAATAAGAGGCTGTATTAATGTTATCAATAACATGTAGTGTAGAAACACATAAAATCATGTGTTTCTCATAATGGCAGTGTCACTGAATTCTTACCTTGTAACATTGGAGTCAGGCAAGGCGAAAACCTATCACTATTTCTCTTTGCCCTTTATCTGAATGATATTGGGTTATTTTTGTCAGATAATGATGTCATTGGTCTTGATTTTGTTTGTGTGTTGTTTAAAGCCGCACTCAGCAATATTCCAGCTGTATGACGGCGGTCTGTTAATATTAGAATCTGGACCAGACAATCCAGTGATTGACATCATGAGCATCGATCCACGCAATTGGGATCGATGACATGCATCAAGAAAGTCGGCGAGCCTGACCACCCGATCCCGAGAGTCGCCTTTTACGGCAAGCATGGTTTGCTCAAGACATATTCTACCCCGGATCTTCACGGGCCTTATTGATCTTGAAATAGTAAATGATTGTGTTCTAAAGAAAAAATTGAAGTTTTATTAAGCTATTGGTAATTCTTTACGCGGACGATACAGTCTTAGTTTCTGAGGCACCTTCCGAATTGAACTTATGTTTAAAAGTATTTGAAAATAATTGTAATCATAGGAAACTCAAGGTGAACACTGCTAAAACAAGAATTGTAGCTTTTGTTAAATGATCTTTTAAAACTGCCTGTACAGTTAGATTTCAAAATACGATTCTCCTTATTGAAAAACAATTTGTTTTATCTGGGTATTTTATTTTCAAGTATCGGTCGATTTTGTAAAGCTATTAAACGGTTATCTGACCAATCTTCTAGAGCTATTTTTAGAAAAATACGAGTATTAGAAGTACCAATTGACTGTCAACTTAAACTCTTTGACTATCTTGTTCAACCTATATTGTTGTATAGATCTCAAGTCCGGGCTTCGAAAATACTGTTATACTCGAACGTGTACATTTAAGATATTGTAAATATATTTTAAAGGTTAAGCAAACTACCCCTGATTTCATGGTGTACGGGGAGATACCCATTAAACATTCATGTTAGGTTAAGAATTGGTGTAGGAATTGGAATAAGTTCTATCAGAAACAAAATTATCAGGTATAATGTACAAACTTACGTTGAAAGTCCAAACTGCCTACTTCGAGCTTAAGTTCCCACTTGTAAATGAAATGCAACGTATTTTACAAAGTACAGGTCTGAATCACATTGGGCTGTCTCAGGCATTTCCCAGTGTACAGTGGATAAAGGCTAACGTCAATACTGTCCTTTATAGATCAATTTTTACAACGTTGGAGGAGAAGTAAAGTTAATTCCTCAAAAGGACACTATTATAATCTGTATAAGGATATCCTCTCAGTAGAAGACTATTTATTGTATTTACCTCATAATTTACGCATTTGGCTTACTAAAATAGGAACCACCAACCACCAACTCCCAATTGAAACTGGTAGATGGTATAACCTCAATAGAGAAGAGAGACTTTTCTCTCTCTCTGTAAAATTAAAATTGGTGATGAATTTCATTTTATACTAGAATGCCGTGAATTGGATCATTTAAGAAATAAATATCTTTTATAATTTATTGTAAATATCCGAATACTGAAAAAAATGTTTCCCTTATGACTTTTTCTTATAAACCTCTACTCTTAGGGTCCCCCGCCGTGATATTGCTGGAATATTGCTAAAAGCGGCGTAAAACCATACTCACTCACTCCCTCACCCTTTACGACTAGCCCACTATGTAAAATGCTCCAGTAACTATTGTCTCATTTCTTTGTATATATGTCTCGCTTGTCAACTTTTTTTATGTCACCATGGTGATTCATGAGAGAAAAACATCGTCTTCTTCTTCTTATCAAACGTAGCTGTCCCGGGCCGACACCCCTTGCACAGCAAGCTCGAACTCAGCAGTTCTACAAAAGAGGGTTGCATTTTGTGATTTAGCAATTCTGGTTCAGTGATCTAGTACTTTTGTGAACATAATGCATGGTTATGGCGTCCACCTTTAGTGTATCTGATCACCAAGTTTGCGAATGATTCACATACATGTTTCTTGGTATATTCTTAAAATTGGTGGCTGCACCTCTGTTTACGCCTTCAGGGTCATTGTTTCATTCAGTCTTTGCGAATCTTTGTTGATTGTGAAAATGGTCTTGATTTGACAAAAACGTCAATTGAAATTAGTCTCTGATTACGTTTATTTATTTGTTTATTTGTTTGTTGTTAACGCCGCACTCAGCACTATTCCAGTTATATGACGGCGGTCTGTAAATAATCGAGTCTGGACCAGAAAATCCGGTGATTGATACCGTGAGCATCGATCCACGCAATTGGGATACGATGACATGCATCAACCAAGTCAGCGAGCCTGACCACCCGATCCCGTTAGTCGCCTCTTACGACGCATGGTCGCCTTTTACGGCAAGCCTTGCTTGCGAAAGACCTGTTCTAACCCGGATCTTCGAGGAATCTCTGGTTACGTAAAATGTTTTTACGTCTCAGGGCTCTTGGGTCCAAATCAATATACTGAAGTATTCCTGAACATGTTCCGCCTATATATTGATACTGTACAAAATTGAAGATGATCAATGATCTGCACTCGACTTGACTTGGAAATTTCCACTTTCACATTGAATGGGTTAAGTGGCGTGTTATTTGTATTACCAAGGGTAGGTATGATGTATTGATTAAAGTCTCAGAAGGAAGTACTGTGTCACACTATCTGCAGGCGCGATGTATTCATGGCATCGAATTGTATGTGAAGACGGATGTAGCCTCCCATTTAAGATTCCCTTCTACGCACGAGGATTTCGAAAGTCATGTGTAGGATAAAAGGGAGCATTTCAAAAGTCGGGTGTAGGATAAAAGGGAGCATTTCAAAAGTCGGATGTAGGATAAAAGGGAGCATTTCAAATGTTGGATGTTGGATAAAAGTTTATAATGTTGGTGTTTTCTTCTACATTTAAGGGTGGGGGCACGGGTGGCCCAGTCGTCTAGAGCGCCGCGATTCGCTGTACAGAGTTGCGTCCCTTGGGCACGCCAGAAACCTATGATTGTGGGTTCGATTCACGGTTCGCCCCGATTATGTTTCTAGGTTTGCCAGCACCATACCCGTGCTCGTGGGTTTCACCGAAGTGGTAAACGTCTTAGACCTGCACCACTTCGGGCTTTCCTCCCACATTAAGCTGACATGCTGTGATATAACTGGAATACTGTTAAAAGCGGCGTTAAACCCAACTCACTCACTCATTTTAGGGTAGGAGGTGGTATTAGTGAATAGTATGTGTTGGGGGGTGGCGTTATAACTAATCAATGTCATGGTTTTTTTATAATTTAGGTGAAACAATAATAGCTTTTAATCGTATTTTTATCGTGTATGTATTGTTTGGGTGCATAGGTATAAATCAAAACTGTATTATGAAATGCGTTTTTTCTCATACATTGGATTTTTCAATTTGCCATTTACTGAAATATACGCTGTGCCCTAAACAGATAGAGGTTGTGTTTGAATCCAAAAAATTGTATGTATGACGCCAGTATCATTTTAGTAACACCTACGGAAAATGCACTGCATATTATAAACATAATATATATCTTTTGAAAATATCCTTTGGATTCGTTATATAGTCGTTCCAATGTTATTAAATTATCGCAATTATCGGGACCACGCATAACACAGTGAGTTATCATTAGATAGAGAGGTACGCAGTTCCAACGTTAGACCATTATATATGTAACCTACACAATGACTGTAAGGATATATCGCCACCTGTAAACGGTACATTTTTACTTGGTTGTTATTGTATAATATATTATTAATTTTATGTTGATGTGGAGAGAAGGGTTTCGTATTAGAGACCTATATGACCGTGGGTTCGTCGACCTTTGACCGCCGACTCTTACGACAAGCATGGTCGCCTTTTGCGTCAAGCATTGGTTGCTGAAGACCTATTCTAATCCGGATCCTCACGGGTCCAAATCTATACTGTAATAGGGAATATTGCCGACAGCTTTCATAAACAACATTCATCATGTCGCTGGTAATGGACAAATTGTCCGTTTCTCATGTTTTCACATTTCGGCCGTTATTTATAATCAGTACATATTGAACTAGAGCAAATCTGACTCATAAGTTCTCGTCATGTGCTTCATATAATTAATTGGACCTTTTGTTAATCCAATTTGACAAAGGGTGTTGCTCTAGTGCAGAAAAAAATGTCACTGAAAGAACAATACAGTTCAATTCAGTACTTGTAATTTGTCGTGAATAGTTTGTTTGTCTGTTTGTTGTTTAACGCCGCACTCAGCGATATCCCACCTATATGGCGGCGATCTGTAAA